GTTTTAGTGCTTTCGTTCATGATTGTAACTTGTAGATCCTTCACTTGACTGCTTTATTTACTCAGATATTCTTTGGGAAAATTGTAGATACTTTCATTTGGGTCTATGTTTTGTTTACTTGCCTCAAAACATGATTTTTTTTTTCCAAGTTACTTAGCTATATGGACCCAGAAAGGGCAAGCAAACCATAATAAAATTCTGCAGTACCAGCTTGAATCATGTACTTTGCCAGTCTAAATTGATTTTAACACTGTTGGCTGTTCCCACTGTTTATGCATAACTTATCTTGAAAGAATGCAAAACCCTTTATAGGTTAAAGAATCAGAGTGATGATAATGATTTGCATTGACAGTATGCAAAGAAATTAGTGGCAAGACCCATATTTGAATATATATGTATTTTTTCCTCCCCCCAAAATGTATCGCTTGTTTTTTAAAGATGTCTTGGCTCTGTTCCTCTCCCCAGTTGGAACTTTTTTCCTTTGTTTCCATTTTCTCGCTCTGCTCAATTTTGATTTCACTTCCAACAGTTTTTCCTCAATATGGAGCCTGTCCTGGAATAGAGATTTGACTGGTTGCTTTTGAAAATTCATGTGGCCCAAGCTGTTCTAGCTCCTTTTGGAACTTCTCAAGGACCCTTTGCACTCATATGCTCTTGGACTAGGCAAAACCACTTACATTTTTACCTTCTGTATTCAGTGGGCCTGCCTGGTTCCAATGAATGCCTTTTGGATTTTCCTGTTGATTCCCTCTTCTTACTCCCTCACAGACCCTGGTACCATATGTGTCTGGTGTTGTGGTTTATCCGTACCTGCTCATGTTTCGGCATTCAAGAGGAGGATAATTTTTCATTTAACTTTGTTGAAATTGTTTTCTATGTATTTTCTTTCTGCAGTTTACCTGTCATAGATAGGTAGGTAGGTAGATAGATAGATAGATACTGAGTTTTTTTTATAATGTGGAAACTCAGGGATATTAAGATACTGTGCTACCACTGGCACTGTCCACCTAGAACTCGGCCTCACAGATTATATTTCTTAATTTCCAAATAGTTAACTTGTTTTGATTATATCCAAAATTATAGCTTTAATTTTGATTTTAATCTGATAATATGGTACATAAAGTCACTACCATTTGGAATTTTTAAGTAGTTTCTCTCATAATGTACACTTGTCTACTTTTCTACATGCTCTGTGGATTTAACAAAAGATTTGTTTTCCTCTTTTATATGCTCCTGATTCTTTCTGCTCTGTTTTTAACAGACCTTTCTGGAAGTTCAGTCTGTAGTTGCTGTCTGTACTGCCTCACATTACATACTCGTCTTATGTTCTCTGTTTAGATTAACATTCCCACCCCTTCATTGAAAGTGCATTTGTTTGTTACCCATGAAGTTGATGTTGTCAAATGTAATGGTCATAGTCCCATCCTCATCTTACTCAACCAACAAAACCAGCCACTACTTTCCTCTTGCAAGATTCCTTTCCCTTGGCATCCTTGACACAATACTCTCCTGGTTTCCTCCTACTTAATTCTTCACTTTTTTGTTGTTGTTGTTAGCTCTAATAATGCGGTGGCCCTGAACATCCTCTTAGAAGTTTTAAATGAGTCATATCCAATCTTCACCAAGCCTTCTCACCTTTCACTCTAAATTATGTGCCCATCAACTTGGTTTTGCCTCCATGGCTACTACTCTTGTGCAAGCTACTATCATGTCATAACTAGGGAAATCTAATGTCCCTGCTTTCCTCTATCATCTCTTTCCCACCCAGCAGCCTGAATGATATTTTTCTTGAGAGTTAGATCATGTCATTTCATGGCTCAGGCCTTATAGTATGTCCCAAACTTTTTATCATGCCAAGGACCTAGGTGAATTAACCCCTGCTTGTCACTCTGAACTTATTTTTAACTTCTCTGCCCCTAGCTCACAGTACTCCAGCTCTTGTGACTTCAGTTTCTCAAACAGCTCTAGCCTAAGTGTACTATTCCCTAAGCCTGGAATCCTCTACTGACAGATCTTTGTGTGGCTTTACCATTCTTATTATTTGTATGTCCAGCTCATATATCATGTCTTCAGTGAGGCTGCCCCTAACTGCCTAATCTCAGCTAGCTACATATCCTTCCACTGCATCACATCACTTTGTTTTTCTTCAGAACACTTACCATTGTCGAAAATTATGATAATCCACTTATGAGTCTACCTGGTTATTTTTTGCCTCCTGCTATTGGGATGCAAACTCCAGGAGACCAGGGACTTTGTCCTATTTACAAGGTTGTCACCAGCTCCTAGAACAGAGCTTGCTTAAGCAATATTTCTTTGAATATTTCTTCATGATTTGAATGACTGAATAAATTAATTTTTGTCTGCTTTATCAGATAGGTTATTAAAGAGATATACATATTAAAATTTATTCTGTAATTATGTTATCTAATTCTCCTTATAAGTCCAGATATTGTGTTTTCACTTATTTGGCCTGTGTTTTTGGTGCATGTAGGTTTATTATTTTTATTCATTTTTTGTGCCTTGTACATTTTATTTGACCAGATTTTGATTTTGAATTTCACTTTGCTATTGATATTATCCTTCATGCCTTCATTGTTGTTGTTTCTAAGAGCCAATTTTTTTTTCACAATCCTTTATATTTTGGATATAAGTGTGTCACTGCTATAGATGTGCTTTCTATAAAAAACATAAAGCTAAATTATGCTTTTTAATGTGCTATGGAAATCTCTCTCTTTTGGTGAGGATTCAGACTGTTCACATTTAGTGCAATTGCTTCTATATACTTTATCTTATTCCTTTATTTTTTTATTTTATGTTATATGTATTATTATTTTTTTTCTTTTCTCTTTTCCATACATTTGCTAATTTATTCAAGCCTTTATTGAAGTCCTTTTTCTTCTTTTTCATTTAGATATTTCTCAACACGGTCTAAGTTTACCTTCCTATTCCAATTTATCTTAAACCAATTTCATTGACTATGATTTCAAAATAATTATCCTTTTGAAGATTATCCAGTTCTCAATTGCTGTGTTCAGAATCATCTTTCCATGGATTTAAGTTACTGTTGACAATATTGTTTGATAAGCTCTGTTTCTAAGATACTCTCATGGACAGTACCTGGAGAGAAAACTCATCTGTATCTTTTCCATTTTAAAAGATGTTTTTTCTTAAATCTTTTAAAACATTTTCACCTAGAACCAATCTCCTACAGCAATTGTCTTTCCTCATTGTCTGTATAAATGCTCTGTAATTATTCAAATGCTTAGAAGCTTTTTGGAAATGAATGTTATTATATTTAAGCTTTCATGTATATACCAAAAATTTAACCATTTTCTCGACTGGCTGTAATTCTTTATTTTATATAAGAAACAATATTTCTTATTTTAGAATGCCATTTCAATTCCTTGCCCTGAAAGCTGGGACAATTGTGAGACTCATTTCCTTTCTTTTCCTTCACTCATGAATTATATCCTCCTCTGTGTTTTGTCTAATGTCTGAATATGGTTTTTCCATACATTTTGTATAGTTTTCTAGTTCTGTAAGGCAAGAGAGAAATCTCATCCTTGTTAGTCCATTTTCACTGGAAGTGGAAAGTGTATTACATGTTTTTGAAAATTTTTCATAAAAGATTATTAAAGGAGAAGATTTCAAGAACTTAATTGTTTAGCTTCAGCTATCTGGGAAAATTCACTTATGTTGACCAGCTCCTTTATACATGATGTAAAAGTATAATATTTACTGTATTATACTATATACCAGATATTATGGCAATAATTTTATTTCTATTAATTGAGTTAGTCTTTTCTCTAACACATGAGGTAGATGCTCTTATTATTGCCATTCACATATGGGACAAAAATAGGTTAAACAGTTTTCTAAAATATTTACATCTAGCAAGTGAAAAAGTTGGATTTTCTCTATTTCTGTATCTAAATAGATATTCTCTATTCAGATGCTACATTATTGACTAGTACACTATATAATACTTCCTCAAGAAACGTGTTACAGTATGATCTCTATAATGTTAACAAAAGTGGAGAACAATTTTAGCTTATTGATTTATTTCTCCTCTCAAAATTCATTAACATGAAAATATAAACTGAGGTGATGTATTTTATTCTTGCAGGGGTTTATAACAAAATAGTTGTATGCAGCTTCCCTAGACAAGAATATACAAGAAAAACTAGTTCCCTCAGTTTCCTTAATACAGTTGAAATTAAGTTTTTCGGCACACAAGCAATTATCAATTGTATTGATAAAAAAATGTGATAATTATTAGATGAAGAAACTCATTTGCATGTTTTAGTTAGGCACATTTAATATGTCATAGGATTTCACATGAAAGTCTTAGCATGCATTACTGAAGTAATTTTATAATAGTTTTCTTTTTTTTTCCGCATCTTTTTTGGAGCGTAATTGCTTTACAATGTTGTGTTAGTTTCTGCTGTACAACAAAGTGAATCGGCTATATGTATACATATATCCCCATATCCCCTCCCTTTTGAGCCTCCCTCCCACCCTCGTTATCCCAGCCCTCTAGGTCATCCAGAGCATGGAGTTGATCTCCCTGTGCTATGCAGCAGCTTCCCACTAGCCATCCACTTTACATTTGGTAGTGTATACATGTCAGTGCTACTCTCTCACTTCATCCCAGCTTCCCTCCCCGCCCCCCCCACCCGTGTCCTCAAGTCCGTTCTCTACGTCTGCGTCTTTATTCCTGCCCTGCCACTAGGTTCATCAGTACCATTTTTTTAGATTCCATATATAATAGTTTTCTTAAACCATTTAATGTTATAGCCTGTGCAAAGGTCATCAGCAGTTGGTTATATTAGGTGTTCTCAATGAAATTTTGATTCCAGCACATATGATTTATAATATGGTGATCCAGATTTCTTGATGATTTAAAAATATTGTATTTACAAATGCCATGAAACATCACCACTTTGAAGAAGAGCATAGATTCAGTAAGTTTCAAACTTTCTTTTATTTTGATTTTTCAGATTGCATTCTCACAACACAATACAATCATGGATCTTGTGCAGTTTTTTGTCACCTTCTTCAGGTAATTTGCTTTTACTGACTTTGAATTTGTTAAACCTATGTTCTGATGTATGTTCTATCAATCTGTTAGGTAATTTATCAGTTCTTTAACCTTAAATATGATACAGTGTGTCTTAAATAGTTTTATGTACTTAAATATATACCACAGAGCAGAAGAAACATACTTGACATATACTTTTGCAAGTTTATTTTGCTGTAGTACTATTTAATAGCTAATTGATTCAGTGGAAAGAGGATGATAACCCTGTGTTCCCCTGTCATATAAGTAATTAAAGCCTGTTTTAATTAATAAAATTAACAGTGCATTCACTGTACTGATTAGGTCCATCTCCTAGCATTGAAATCCATATCAATTCAATTATTTCTTGGATTTCTTAGGTAATTATTATATGTGCTTAGCAATGTGATGAAATCTGTAGGGCATGAGAAGAAGTATGTATTTTCTGCCCTCAGAGAGCTTATAATCTGGAAGTACTAAATATGACTTAGGATATAGCATAGTTTCCTGGAATATTAGTTATTTGAGATATTAACAGTAGGTTCATTAAAAAGTGTTACATAATTAAATACATTTGGAAAATGCTGTGTATACTGAAGTTAAATAGGGCTTTTTTGGTTTGTTTTTAACTGACATTACTTCTCAGAGTTTTTTTTTTTTCCCACAGTTTTTAATATGTTAATTTGCAGTGTATCTTTCTAAAAGAGAGGGCGGAGTTTGTAGCATTTCTCAAAACCTAAAAGCTCTCTTCGTAGAACATCTATTTTCATTTCCATGGGATGTAAATAAAGAAACACTGGGCGAGGAGAAGCAGCTGAGTTTTAGTGGTAGAATATCTGTGTTATGGCACCTGAGATCATCTGGATTAGAAAGAATGTTATTTTTGTTAACATGATTATGAGGTGTACCGCTTATACTGGTCCACTAGGTGCCTTTGTGTAAATTAGACAATTGTGCCTCCTTCTGGCAGGCATAGCCCCACATCACAGCACACAACTTTACAAACAGTGCATGTAATTTTGACCTTCACTCACCAAGTTGTCTGGGCTGCGTTGAACAGCAAAGAACCTGTTAAACCAAATCCCTGACACAGATGATATGCCAAGCACTTTCCTCAACACCAAAGTAACCATTATTGGTTATATTATAAGGACACCATACAATCCTAATACCTTATCCACAGAAGTTAGCAAACATTTTCTGTAAAGAGCCAGTTAATAAATATTTCAAGATTTGTGGGCTATAAGGTCTCTGTTGCATCTAAACAACTCTGCTGTTGTGGTGCTAAAGCAGCCTCAGCCAGTATGGAAACAAATCGGAGCGGCTATGTTCCAATAAACCTTTATTACAAAAACAGCTGCTAGGCTGAATTCTGCCTGTGGACATAATTTGCCCAACCCCTGATCTAACTTATGCCTGAATACCTTTAATGACAGGAAACACACCATCTCTTGAGATACCATTTTCTATCTTCAGATAACTAATTGTTCTTTATAATTGAGATGAAATCTGCCTCCCTGTAATAGCTCTTCTCATTTACCCATATGGGCTCATACATAGCAAGTCTAATCTCTCTCATCTCCTTTTGCAGCCCTCTGGTTTTCTAAACTCTTTTCTCCAATTTACACATTCTCTGTTCGTTTATTCACTTCTTGTTGTCAAAATCCTTGCCATGTTGGTCACTTTGCTCTGAAAACAATCATGTTTGTCTTTGTCCCTTAAAAAGTATTAATTTCCAGAATTTAACGCTAAATCATAATTATCACTAACATGTGCAAAGACTATTCATACTTTAAATTTGTCCCTTAAAAATGAAATTTGAGGAAACAACTTTTTTTAAAATTAATTTTTTTGGCTGGGTTGGGTCTTCGTTGCTGCGCACGGGCTTTCTCTCTAGTTGCAGCAGGCAGGGACTACTCTTCGCTGTGGTGTGCGGGCTGCTCATTGCGGTGGCTTCTCTTGTTGTAGAGCACAGGCTCTAGGTGTGCGGGCTTCAGTAGTTGTGGCACATGGGCTCAGTAGTTGTGGCTCGCGGGCTCTAGAGCGCAGGCTCAGTAGTTGTGGTGCATGGGCTTAGTTGCTCTGCGGCACGTGGGATCCTCTTGGACCAGGGCTCGAACCCGTGTTCCCTGCATTGGCAGGCAGATTCTTAACCACTGCGCCACCAGGGAAGTTCCGAGGAAACATCTTAAATATATTTAACGTTCTCTGATTTCGTACTTCTGAATATTAAGGGATATTAAGCCTATTAATTAGGATACAATGTTTTTGGAAAAGTATTAGAAGTTGTAATTGAATGAGCCTTATTTAATGCATAAAAATAAAAGTTTTTGACAGAATAATGTGGATGTTAATATGCTAAAAAGGTTACTTTTGTGTAAAAATTCACAAAGTTGAATATATATGTAAATTATTTAAATGTTTAGGGTTTTATTTTAAGCTTTTGAATTTGTGTGCATGTTTAAGTTCAATAACTCTTTTATTAAGTAAAAGAAAGGTAGTGTTAATGTGTACCATGTCTTAGAGATGATCCTACTTATTATGTTGTCATCATGGACAAAGTAATATAAAATATTCTAAGCATCATGTGAGATAAAGTATATTTAATGGGTTTTTTATCATTTAAATTTTTCTCAGTATTAAAATGTAAATTAGACAGTTTTCTAATTGTCTCCTTGTTAAGAAAAGAAAATGCACAAATACTTTTAAGTTTATTATTTTTTTAAATAAAGCCACTGTTAAATTTTAAAAGAGAGTTTTAGACAGGTCAGCATTTATGGACATCCTTCAATCAGGCCACTATTACTGCTGTTGCTGTTTCTGAGTTATTGAAGTAGCATAGGTGAATGTATCAGCCTTTCAGTTTAGCCATGGTTTGATGGAGGCCAGTTCATAAACTTTGTGTCCGTTTTTTACTTTTATATTGGGCATAGTTCTGGTGGTAAACATAATTGAGTCAGTACTAGGAAGATCACTTATAGGCATAGCCTGGCTCTGATCTTAGCTTTCTGTGCCATCTTAAGTAGGTCACCTAGCATCTTTAAATCTCAGTCTTTTCATATCTAGAATTAAAGGATGTTGTTTTTAGAGTGTGTACTATAATATAGTGAATGATTAGAAAACTGAAAGGAATTATTTTAAAAATAAATACTTGTTTCTGGTATGTAAAATGGAAAAGTAAGTCTGTGTGAATCTGAATTTTAAAAGAATAAGCCTGGTAAATTAAATGGAGATATATCAGGGACCACTGCCCCTATACCATTTAGATTTTTAATGGTGGTTCTAATTTTCACTGTCCCACTGGAATTACATAATGTTTTTGATTTACCATCTTGACCAGATGGCAGGTATTTTCAGAGGTTGCCACTTGATCTTTCCCACTATGATAGATCTTACCCCACAGGCCAGGGATGCAATGTAGGGGTTACTCTAATCACCTTGTACATAAATTCTAATTATACACTTGAGAAGTAGGGAAATTATCAGTGGGTGGATGCATAGAAACAGTTGGCCCACTATGATCCAGAATTTAGCCAGAATTTCTTACCTGGACCCTGGAGATACCCCAAGTCTAACAAGGGTTCATGATGGTATTTTAGTCCTTGGGTATCTCTGTGATCTCTAACCCTGTGTCTTATAGTAATCAAAATATCTACTTACTCCTCTTGCACTGTGTACATACCCGTGTATATACCTGTGTATATACCCAAATATACACAGGGCTCTTTGTAAAGGAATCATACACAGGTCCCTTTGGGGATCATTTTATACACTTTCCAAGATGTTTCAAAATGTCTTTTCTTCTATGGACTCAGCCACCTGTTCAGTGGGTTCTGGATTTGTAAATTAACTCATCTGGGAGCTGAGCAGAGGATCGTGATTTCTCTTGGCAACAACCCTCAGCCTTTGTTCCTCCATTCCTACTTACAACAAAAGTAAATGTTAGATAGCACCGTTGTTGGCTGCCCATCTATTTTGCCTCTCGAGATAGATACCATCCATTATTAATCATCCCACAGCTCGTTGTGGGCCAACACCCTTGTCTGCTCCTCCAGTCTTGTTGAACTTTATCCTCATTGTAGACCCTGGATTCTGTCAGTTAGGCACTGACCCTTGATCTTTTTTACTTTGGGGCCCCATCACTTAACGCCTCCCTTTGTCACTGCCTCTCCTGTTGTCAGCTCTGGTCTGTGGAAGAAAGCCACCAGTGAACTTCTTAGTGAAGCTGGTGCCCCTTTCACCAGCAAATTTCTCATGGCCTTGGTGACTGGTACGTCCCATAGAAAGTAATCTACCGGCCTTACATAATATATCCATTCCGGTACATTCCCTCCTGTCAGCTTTTTTATTCTTTACTCTTCCATCTTCTAGGGCAACTCAGGCATTTCCATTTCACTTTGCCTTGGCCAGTGCTTTTTCCAGGCTTATAAGAATCACTTCCTCATCAAGTTTTGCCCCATCCCCTGGAGTCCTCCATAGGGTATTATATCACCTGGTCCTGAGACTATGCACCAAAATTCATGAATTCTTGTTTATCCAGGCTTACATTCCATCCCCCCTTGATCAAATACCACCAAAATCCAATTCCTGACATGATCTCCTGGCTGCTGCCAGTACATGTTAGCCAATTCTTGCAGCTTGTTCAAGTATATAATCTTTTCCCTTTCTTTTCAGGCCAAGATGCATTATTCTGTCATTAAATTCAGTTATTAGTCTAGCAATCAGGAGAGGAGGTGGTGGCAGCCTTTAGGGGGGTGACCCTATTGTCTATTACTAGAAACGAGAGTTGTAGAACCAACATCCTCAGAAACGGCTATCTAGATAGTCCATTCTAGGTATTCCTATCCCATATTTCAAGAGCTCCAGTTTTCCAACAGTGGCCATTGTCTTTGCATAAGAGGACTGCTTTGGCTGAGCAGTCTATCATCTCTGGAGCTCTGCAATTCTAACAATTAGATCATCAGTCTGCTGCTCATTCATATTGGCTCCTCCACTGCCAAGAG